GTAATTTAATAGAGCTTAGGCTCCACATATTTTCGAATCCATCGGAAGTAGAGAATGGCAAGCTCTATGCAAAAATAGCATCACATTTAAGTTTAAGTCTGCGTAATTATGCAAGACCATTGCACTGCATTACAAAAATATTGTGAACGTATTTATGAAAATTTTCTTCATATAAAAAAAAATAAAGAACATGTAGAAACTCCTGATGAATTCATTAGATAGTATTTGTCGCTTGAGTGTCAACTGTATAAAGAATCTCAGTGAAAGAAAAAAATACAAAGGAGGATAAAAATTCAATATTGACTTGATCTTCAATCTTATTGATTCTTTTATGGTACATATTACGGTGGCAGACTCTCTCAGCCTTTCGTAAATCATCAACTACCGAGGTTCCATAGGTTTTCGGTCAGAAATGTATATGTGTATGAGATGGTACTCAAGGATGCTGATGAAAAGCAAAAAACTAGAACAAAGATTAGAAAGATTTGTTATCTTCATGTTTTACGTCAGTTTCTATATTACACGTAAATATCATAGAGAAAGAATCTATCAACCTTTCATAAGTCATCAATCACTCAGGTTTTACGGCGTTTCTTCCGGCAATGCACATATGCGTGAGAGAATACTATAGAGAAAAACGATGAAAAGAGAAGAGAAGAAAAGAATAAGAAGAAAAATGTGAAAAGGTGAGTTGCCTTCATATTTTACCTTGTTTTTTTTATCGTATAGATAAATATAACGGCAAGAGTTTGATAGCCTCTCATAAATCACCAACTAATCAGGTTTCATGAGCTTTCTTCCAACAATGTGTATGTGTAAGATGTATTAAAGAACGCTGATGAAAGAAAAAAGAGAAGGAAGGTTGAAAAAAGTGTGTTTCCTTCATATTTTACCTCTATTTTTATTAAATAGACAAAAATATAACATGGAGAGATCCTATAAGCCTTTCGTAAATCAATAACAATAAAGCTTTCATAGGTTATCGGCCAATAATGCATATATATATATATGCGAGAGGTTTTTAAACGAAGTTGATGAAAATAAAAAAAATAAGAAGAGAGGTTTAAACGGTATGTTGCCTTCATATTTTACCTTGCTTTTTTACTGTATAGGTAAATATAACGGCGAGAGTTTGCTAGCCTTTATGCTAATATTACTTATCTAGATATCATAGATTTCAACCAACTATGACCCATAAGGAAGACTTGCCGCGATTAGAAAAAGTGGCAAGTACTAGTGCCTATATCCTATGTGCACAGAGGTATGAGCATTTCGACTTAATTTTAGGATCCGGCATTCGGAATTGATATAAAATTTAATTACAAGATTTTTATCAATATTTTTTCCGTAGACACTTCTTCGAGCTACTATGATACTGTATAATGGGTCTTACTGCGATGAGATTCTTCTCAAATGATTAATAATCCGAGACATGTCGATTCCATGATCTGTTCTCATTGTAATTATTGTCTTTGCCACATTAAATATCTCAAGGCGAGAACATGTGATGAATTATGATAGATACCTAAGACGCTATAAATATCATGAACTATTTTGTTTTTCATATACGCCATCCAGTGTAGAAAGAGTATAGGAGGCGGTTCCTTTGTTTTTGATTAGTCTTAAAAGATTTGATTTATTTACCGAACATGAGCTCGATTGGTACTGGAGAGCTTGTATTGTTCTCTTGTGAACTTAAATGCCAATCGAAAAATAGATCGACAAGTAAATTTTTACTCTTCGCTTATACAACAAATTTCTTTCAATTGAGCTAATAGAGTTTCACGAGCTTCATCGATGCTAGAGACGCTAGTGATCTTCATTTAAAAGGATTCTACTTTTACACATTTTCAATTAATCACCAGAGCTGCTTCATGCTGACAGTAGTTTCCAATATGAAACTGAAACTACAAATAACCTAAGAGTTGAAAATTGCTGCGTCGGATACCTTTTGAACTATGCAAACAAATACAGTTATGTAGACAGTGAAGCGATAAATTTCTGGAAGCTGAGTTTTCAAGATCTTCAGAGATCGGTGAGGGAACAGAGTCTCAAGATCAGATGATTTTTATACATATTTTAAAGATCTGCAAATTAAATGTCCTCTGAAAGTTACAGCTCAATTAGATAAGCTATCGAGGTACATTGCTTGTCACTAAAAGTAGGCTTTTATATTTCAGAATAAAAAGATCTCAAAATTTGACAATTACAGAAATTAAGAACGGATTCTTTGACTATAGAATACAATAAATAGAAGTTTTCTTAGACGCTCCGATGAGGAGGAAAAGCGGCTCCTGGTGAATTCTAGCGGATTCTGATGGTTTCTAGTGGATCTTGCTGGTTACTACTAGTAGGGGTAGGGTAGTTTGTATCTAGTTCCGAATGAACGAACTGTTTGCACCCGTCACCCGAGCTGAGCTCAGCTATTCGAACAGTTCTCTTGAACTGAACTAACCTGCTGCAACAGATATGGCGAACTGAACTGAACTGCTCAACCGTTCAGTTCAGTTCATAGAACGGATAGGAGCATTTCCTGATACGAACCCTATAAATTTTGAAGCCCTCATACAGGGGGTACTTCAAGTGTCTCAGGTCTTATTATAGGGTGTACCATTGGTACCTTGAGTACCTCAAATCCTAGTATTGGGGGCCGGAGTACCTTAGGCTAAAGTGCCCCCATGTAGTCTGAGGTGAGGAACATAAGCTACCTGTCTATCATAGATGGAAGCAGTCTGCTTTTTTACAGGTTGGTACAGCGATCATTCTGAAATTTCCAACCCGGAGTGACCTGTATACCCGCTTCACAGGTGCGTATGGTTTAACTTGTCCAAACTGGCCTAGTCCTGGGTCACTGGTTTTGGATGAGTCAGGCCGATTCGAACCGGTTAAAATCGATAATCTGGCGTAATAGATGGGATAAACGAGATACATTAGTGAATCAATTAATGTTAATATTAAGGTAACACACGACAGCTCAAGAAGAAATTTTGTTCTCGAGTAAAGCGTGATTGGCTAGCTTAGTATGCTACCATTTAGAAGTATGATTTGTCAATGGTTACCAGAGTAGTTCCAGAAACAACACTTTTGAGATACCCTCTTGAAAAAATGTTTCTGAGCGTATTGGGAGCGATCTTGATCAATTTAGATCGGATCTACCACAAATACCGGTAAGGGCAGATTGACCACAAAAACGCGTCGATGAAAAACTCAGACTAGCAGCGGGGTGCTGGGTTACCGGTAGAACCCGTCAGGTCCTAAATTTTCGAAGCCGGGCAGGGACACAGCCGATAAAAAATTTTTGGACTTGCGTCCAGTTTATACTGATGAAACTTTTTCCAACGCCTGAATCAAACTACATTTCGAACATTTGCAATGAAAAATAAATGAGAACCAAAAACATCCAAAACATTTTATTATTTCTATGAAATTATTTTTTGGACCCTACCCGGAGCCGATCGTGTCCGGGTCGGGTCCGAATTCGGGTCCTAGCCAACGGACTCTGGTCACCGGTAGCCATGCGAACTATACTCGCTGTATAACAACTTGAGGTGCCTGATGTACCACCATATAGTAGATTCTGAGATACCTGAGATATCACACTATAGTAGCACTGGATTGTTCTTATGGTTTATGTTAGGAGGCACGGGTGTGGTGGTTCATGAACTGAGTTGAGACGTTGAAGAGTTCAGTTCTTTTCCAGAGAGATGTTGCAACAGTTCCTTGAAACTAAACTGAGCTGCTGGGATAGTTGGGGCGAACGGAACTGAACTGTTCGAACAGTTAAGTTCAGCTCACAAGAACTGTTCCAGTAGTTATTTTGATACGAGCTGATCGATTCCAATCGCTAAATAAATCATTTGAACCTGTTCGTGAGCTGGAACTGTCGCAAGTCTACTGACTACGTGTAAATATGAGTACATAAGTATTATATCATTAACCCTCTCTCTTGATTTCTTAAAGTCAATCGTAAGATTGGTCCAATTAACCAACGTTACTTTCGAAGAGTCTCTGATAGTATTTATTCTTGATCTTGGTAGATTCAGGTGGATTCCGGCTGCTCCTGCCGGCTTCTTACAAATTCTTACGGATTCTATGAATTGTAGAATCCATAAGGAGCCGCCAGGAGCCGCTTTCTCCCCCTTGTGCTCCGAACGTGATAGTTCGGTGAGCTATTGCGCATAGTCAAACTTTCATCTTAGATAGAGCTCACCTTTGATCATAAGTAAATCATCATGAGACTGTTCTCAACCTAAAAGAATTTGCTTCCTCTATAGATAGATCCTTGAGTTGTTAGAACAATGTAAAAATGTTAATGTAATTGAATTACTATCCTTAGGATATGCAGCATCGAAAACCCAGGTATGTAACATGAGAAAAAGTCAGCTAGTTAATCTTGTTGATACGGTCAAAATCTAAAGACCAGTGCATTCGATTGCACTGGAGTTTTTGCACTGTTCTAATGGCTCATGACCTATTTATAGACCAAGTTTCAAACAAAAATCTTCTAATTCAATTTTTTACAAGACGGGTTACAACGGTTTTAAAATCTTTGTACAGTGTGTTGATTTATGTCATAAACAAACATGCGAAATTGGCATGGAAATTGTTTACGAAAACTATCTTTGATCATCTGCTTCAAACAATTTCATAAATGTTACTTAGTAGGAATCGCTACATGTCTTACCTGTGCCAGTGTGAATCAAGAGAAACTAAATGTTTGGATTCTAATCCAAAACTTTGCAAATATGGAGGATGTGGATGTAGGTATGAGCGTGAATGTGTGAGGGGTGGATTTTATTCTCCCACATTCACATCCTGACGAAATAAAAATCAACCAGAATGACTATTGCTAGAGAAAAGATACAGTAGAATTGTGGACACTGCCTTTACATATGTGAAATGTGATATACATGTAACTGTCATTTTAAGTTCTCAAACTCTGTTTTTCTAAACTATAGATAATAGACATTGTTTCTTATCACCATATTGTCAACTGAAACATGAGTGCAGATTACGAAACAATCAAAAGACAAGCAATTGGTCGACAAGGATTTATTGGAAGCTTGTATGATGTTCGTAATGATCGTTTCGAAGGTCGAAGTTTATTCAATCAGACGGTTCCGTCATCGTATATTTCAACAACTGATTGTGCTCATTCAACTTATATTGTCGATGAAAATGAATCCCAAAAAGAAACATTCAACAATCTTAATATTGATGCATCGATGAAAATTAGTCTTATGGCTGGTCTATTCAATATCGAAGGTTCTGCTAAATATTTAAATCAAACAAAAACCAATAGTCGAACAGTTCGAGTAACACATATTCTTCAAATGAAAACAAAAAAAGATCATTTACATATTAGTATGGCTGATTTGTGCCAATATTTTTCATCAGATGCATTAGAGAATCAGAACGCAACACATTGTGTTATTGGAATTACTTGGGGTGCAAATGTTGCAGCTACATTTGAAGAAATATTGGCTACTTCGGAAGAAGCTACAGAACTTCAAGGTCAACTGTCAGCATGCTTGAAAAAGCCAACAATAAGCGTTAGTGGTGATGCAAGTGTGAAAAATGTTGACCAAAGTGATTCCAAGTTTCATTCATTGAAAATCAATATTTCTGGCGATATCAAGTTAAGCACTGTTCCACGTACAGTTGAAGACGTTTTTAAAGCATTCAGTGAAGTACCATCAAAATTGAACGAATTAAATGATGGAAAAGGACAGCAGCTCGAATTTGAATTATATCCATTGAAACGAATGGCTCAAATTTTTAAATATGAAATATCCGTTCAACGGTAAGTTAGTTCAATATATTTTTACCATTTCACAGCTGATATATACATATTTTTATGCACTCATGTTTTAGAGTCATTAAAGATGTATCCATTTATCTCATGAGTCGCCTTGAAGATACTTTTGAACAAATAATTCGTAGTAAAAGAATGCTCAATGATTTTCTTGACAAAGTTACACCATGGCAAGATTGGCTTGCACCGGATTGGATTGATGCTATTACTAATAAACAAACTAATTTGAATAGAGTACAAACGGACACGTTACATCAACTTGGAACACTAGTTGAACAGATACGTCGGGGCGAAGTGGAGGAAAACAAAATGACTGAATTATTAGAAAATTTCGACAAAAATAACCCATGTTCTGTCGTGTCAATGCGCCGGTTTTTGGAAGAAAATTCGAGAAATATTATCAAAATTGAAGCACTGAACGAAATCTGTCGGTTTTTACTGGAGACAAGAGGAGAAAACAAGCAATCAACAGGAGGATATTCAGGCATTCTGTTTCCGAAAAACACTTCGATTCATAGCTTTCTTAATAAAAATCATGATTATGATATTTATCTGTTACATATTTCAAATAAATGGAAAGAAAGCGATGAACGAAATTGGTATAAGCAAATACGACTTTTTACTAACTTGTACAAATCTCAAGAGCAAAATCAAGCACGAAAAGCGATTTTTCGAGTGGTTGATCATGATTTTCTTGTTGATATGGATGAAAAGCCTGATAAATGCGTGATTTATCATGCGAGTCGTGGAGTTATCAACACAAAAGATTATTTTTATACTTCGCTGGGTAAGTAAATTGGTGTTTCATATCAAGTATTTTGAATGGTTGCTTCAAATTCTTAAGTTGAATTGATAATAGTATTTAGTACAAATTTTTTTTGTTTCTATCTAGTAACTTTAGCGCAAGATCAAATTCGAGCATTGCGAACGGAACATAAACTTACAAACATAACTAATAAAGAAATTGAAGCATTGCACAAAAAATTTATTGCTGCACAGTAAGAAACTAACTGATTTCTGCTTTGGCTTAGTATCACACTTGTCCTGTAACACATTTTTGTAGTCCTAGTGGTGAAATTAATGAACAAGAGTTTTGCGCTGAATTCCAAGTACTATTTCCGCGGTACGTATTATCTCGATAGCCCTATCGTCATAATTATGCATACTCTCTTTTTGTTTTGTGTTCAGTGGCGAACCACAACACTATTGTAATTATGCATTTAAGGCGTTCGATAAAAATGACAGTGGAACGCTTACCTTTGATGAATACATGTCAGCTTATTCTCTGACATTGCCAGGTGATATAGAACACCAACTGGCACTCGTATGTACATATAATTTTTCGATTGAATTGTGCTATTTGCAATCAATTTTCTCTGTCTTTTCAAAGACTTTTCAATTGTGTGCTTATCATGGTCAAGACAAAGTCAGTAGCGAAGACTTACTCCAACTTATGGAAGCCGTAGCAGAATTGAAAGGTGTTGATTCAAGTGCTATATCGTTGTTTGCCAAAACCATTATGAAAATTACTAAATCAGAAAAGGATGAAAAGATAACAAAAGAAGAATTTATTCGTCGGTAGGTACTTTTAGAAAAATATCTACCATGAAAACAGTTGGTTTGTCTTTTAGTCTTAAGGAGAATTATGATTTGTGTATGGCTTTCTTACCGATTGAAGTCAGTAAGTAACATAATCGATAATAAGGAGAAGATAAGAGCATTTGACCGAGCTTCTAACGAATGGCTACTTTTGACGACATTGATCAATCTGATTCCATGATTCTTATCATCGTTGAACACGCTGGGTTCTCGAAAAATTTAAAGAATCCAACGGTCGTAAAATTCGAAAAACCCAGAAATTCATGCGTTCGAGAGAGTCTGTGAGCATAAAAAACAAACTTCAAAAGCAAACTTTTTAGGTAATGCCTACGTAATGAAAATGTTAGATACAATTGAACTACGTTAACTGTATACCAAAACATTCCCTATATTAATAGCTATCTGTCATAGCCAAGGAAGCAGCATGTTCAAATGCCTATGATGGTTTGAAACAGCGATACGATCGGTCCAAACGTCATATTCCAAATGGAAAAGTGACTTTTTGAACTGCAAAATTTTACATTTATTCAAAACAAAAATATTTATGCAAGTTTCTAAGGCATAGGATTCGCAATGCGAAATATCCAGGAGAAGCTTGAAACTCCAATAACTAATATGAAAGTTCAAAAACTCTTCTTTTTCTGATCATATCGGCATGTCCGCTGCTATTTGTGATGATGTCAAGAGATCATATTCAAAGAAAAGAATTCGTCTTGGTGAACTTTAGAATTTCAAATCGATTCGAAACCCCAAACTCATATACAATCCACACATAAAAACTCAAGAATAGAAATCTAAAATTTCCTTTCCTAGAATTGTCATATGAGACACTGCATGAAAGATATGACGTAGCCCAATAAGAGGTATTGAATCGGTGGTCGCGCATTCGTATCGTTTTATTTCTTATCTAATAAAAGCTTTGCGGAAGGGAATCATGGCTGAGTTCAACTTCATCAAGGATGCTGACCGGCGTGTACCATAATACTCATATTTCGATTCCGAAGTAATTGTGGCACGAACACTATTATAAATTGAAAAAATGCAAAGGTGGTTTTCGGTCTTGCTCTTTACAATGAGCTTTATTTTAACCTGAAGTTCTAAGATTCCATGTCTGACTTTTCTGGAAGCTCAGGGCTTCGGGCTATCACTCCATGATGTAGTATTTATCCGTAACCATAGAGACGCATGCAGCTTAGCTCCGGTGTGCAAGACCAAAAAGTACTTTTAAAATTTGTTTAACTTTCGAAAACTTATGTGTAGAAGGTCATCACTCTTGAGTTTTCTGTTCCATTTTATTTTTCAGATGTAGTTTTCATTGATTTTAACTTTAAACTAGGTGACTTAGGTGATGAAAACCAGTCTCGTTTTGGGTTCCTAGCCTAAAAATCCCTCGATCCGTCCTTTGACCTGTCAAATCAATCAGATCGAGTCGTCCTAAATGCTGATTTTGTTCTTACCGTTCATATTGGCTGTTCTCCCCAAGGCGAATGCAAAACTTTAGGAAGATCATATTTTCAAAAGAATGAGTGCTAAACAACATCGGTCTGTGTCGTGCATTGTTCGAGAGTTATATTGTTCTTAAGGTTCTAATAAATGACTTTTCCAACACATCAATTAACACCTATCACTGATCATGACATGTACTTTTACCAAGATTCAGGTATTGGAAAACTGGCACAAAAAAGAGTGCCTTTTCTTGTTAGGCCTTTCGGAACAAATTCAATATCTGTCTAATAGTACAATATTTTTCTGGTCGGGTTCGGCGGAATTTCATCAAAAACTTGTCTCTACAACATACGAAAAAAAAACGATGCAAATATGCGAACAATATATCCGGTTATGTCTTTAGAAAGTTTAGATTTCTATTCTTGAGTTTTTTCTTTTGAATTGTATGTGAGTTTGAGTTTTAGAACGAATTTGAAATTCTGAAATCCAATAAGATCAATTCTTTCATTTCGATATGATCTTCTAACAACGTCATAAACAACAACAGAGATATCGATATGGTAAGAAGAAAAAAAGTCTTTGAATTTTCAAATTTACTACTGAAATATTAGGCTTCTTCTAGACTGATTCGTGTAGCGAACTCTACAGTTTTGAAACTTATGATTTTTTCGTTTTGAATGAACGATACGATTCGTTTTCAGATAATTCAATAATATTTCTCGATTATTTTTACTTTGTAGAAAAAAAAGCAGCCACCCAAGAAACCCCAAAGCGTTTAGATTCTCTTGGTGATGATGATCTCAAATTGATTCACAATTTTCTTACTGATTATGACAACTCAGTTACATGGCAATTGACACACACACAGAATATCGAGAGAATATTAAAACCAAAATTAGAAATATTCTTCAAACAGCTTGGTTGTAATTCGGCCACCGATGTTCAAAATCGAATCAACGATTTAGTATCAAAATATACAGAAGTTTTAACAATTTGGAGAACACACTATCAAAATATTTTTCAAGGATTACAACCTTTGTTTAAAGATGCCGTTTTAAGCATTCGGAATGCCTACAACACTGAAAATAACTAATGAAATGTTATGTTTTAAACATAACAGAAACTGAAGGCATAAAACTAACTAGATCTACGGCAACAGTAGTTTCTGTGACATCAATACTAATAAAATATAATGACTTTTTTCACATTCTGGAAATGAAACAGAATAATAAATTCTCTTTTTCTTTTTATCATTCAATTTGACTAATAAAACTAGATGTAGATGCTGAATCAGTTTTGAGAATGGGATGGTTGCGGTTGAGGATGTGAGCACCATATAGTACCAATACACTGGTACTGCACAGGTAAGAGTGCTACCAAATACTCATATATTCATTAGGCTCGAGATCGATGCTATACCGAATTGAATACGAACTGGAGCCGATATTTATGCAAAAAGGTTGGTCAACAATGGGCGATCTCAACAAAAAAAATGAAAAAAAATGTCATCGAGTTACACAAATGGAAAAAGAACAATATGCCATAGCAACTAGCAACGAAATAACTATTTCTCTCATTACCCTAATCGTAATAGACAAGTCCACTTCATTAATTTGTGATCACTTATTTTCTGTCAGAAATAACAACTAGTTTTAATGAATTCACGCTAATTATTGCAAACAAAACATTCAATTATGTTAATTCAAATATTATCGATTTATATCGAACTATGAACAGCGTGATACTCAATGGAAAAAATACTTTATATTCCATCACACATAAAGACTTTGATTGAATCTTTAATTGGAACATCATCAACCATAATATCTATATCAACATCGTTATGTCAACAATTAATGCCCAAAATTGTCATTATACTTATAAAAAAGGAAACGAACTCGAAATGACTATCGTCTCAAGAATACAAAAGAATTCAAGCAACGATAAAACAGCAAAACTTCAAAAAGAGATAAACATGAATGTATAGTTACTCTTCAACACATATTCGGCCAAAAGTCAGATATATGTATATAAAAATTATAGTATTACTTTTTCGCCGAGAAAAAAATATTTGTTCTTGTTTTTTTCCTTTTCTTTTCTATTCACTGCGTCTCTTTTTTTGACGTATGAGCATGTATGCTATTTGTGGTGTTTTTTTGTTTTTGCCTCATATTCACATGATTAAATTTGATAGATGCTTAGAAGAGTGTGTAATCTGAGTTGGAATATTTGTCAGAAATGGTATATGCTCTCTGTCAATCAATATTTATATGTGTTCTATCTTCTTTCTTTCCCACTGTTCTTTATTCTGTACATTCTTTATTGACTACAGTAGTCACTAATTGTACACTCTAGATTGTTATCAATTTTCTTACATTAAAACTTATCTATTTTCTCGGTGTGTAAGCTTTCCTCTATGCACACATGCATCTGCTAATACAAATCTTTCTCTTTTTCTGTTCTGCTGATTGGCACACTATCTCTAAGGAAGATCGACCTATAAAAGAAAGTGTGATGAATTGAAATAAAAGTAATTGTTCCATAACAACAGTTTTTGCTATTGCAGAGAGACAGATTCAAACTAACTGAGGCATAGTTTTAGACAGAAGATTAAACACTCGTGCGAGCAGATTCAGAAATAGAGAAAAAAAACTTTGACGAATTTACTGAAATGAAAATGCGTGTATCCTTCTGCTGCCATTAACTGCAACCATTTCATTTATGGTAGCTCAGTCCTTATATAAATAGTTTTACATGTCATAGTGAAAGTATTCGATAGAGATCGATTGACATTATGAAGTCCGAGTTAGTGTACGGATGAGAATTGAAATGCTGCAGCATAGTTCAATCCTCATACAATCTAATGTAAATAGGACGAATCTATTCCCGGCCGAGAGATCGTAAACAAGAGAACTCAAGTCTTGTTCCAGAATTTGCGGTACATCAGTGAAAAATTGTTTTCGAAAAAAAACACCCGCTGTTAGAGCATACTCAATCGTCAGCTTCGGAAGAAATCAAACCTTTGTTTCAAAATTTTCTTCTGAAGAAAACATGGTTTTTCGAGGTTACACCATTTGAACGTATATTTTTGTTCTATTAAAAGCACGTTTGAAAGGTATTTTCTTCTAAACCCTGTATAAAAGAGTTCTGCAGGCTATTCATGATCATTTTACATCTGATTTTATTCTCTCATATCTGAATATACATCTCAATGATGACAAAAAAGTTTGAGAATAGTAATCGGCCATTCCGTCAGGACAGAGCCAAGAACGAAGCAAAGACTATCGAGACGCACTGATCAGCATATGAATAATGTTTTCCTTCACAAAATTAACATCTGTATGTGTTGCATCAATAACTGCTTAGGTAAGAGTTTGAAACAATCATCACTTTTTCCAAGCATAAATTCTGCTGATTGTTCTGAAGAATTATCAGATTGAATGACCAGAAAACAAATCTTATTGCAAATAACAACTCTCATTTACTTGTTAAATTCTTTTCTGAACGAAAAGCTTAAAGATATATCGAAAGTGTTCG